CTTTCGCGTAACGAACGATAAGCTTTATTATTTAAGAATTTGAGAATTAAAATTGATGTAGAAATTTCAACAAGATTAATATCTTTTTTATTGTATTAAAAAAATGTTTAAACTTTTAAGAATATTCTCTATATAACCTGGATATCAATATTTAAATTATTAATAAAATTACGTGATTATATTAAATCCGTTTTTGAGTTTATGCTCTTTTCGTTTCACAATATCAATTTGCATTTCATTGCATATCAAGTAATATTTTCGTCTTTTGAAAACTTTGCAGAGCCGACCAATGTTTCAGTTTGAACGCAAGAAAAATTCAATATTAGTATATTTTGCTTATTAAATAAATTGAATGTAATATCTAGTTCAGTATATTATTTACACATTATAGCAAAAATACCCATTAAAACCCATTAAAAAATAAAGTAAAAATTATACATTAGAAAAAAACATTATGTTAACAATGTTCTGAACAAGATAAACGTAGAATAAATGACCATTTGTTTCTTCAATATTTAAGAACACATGTTGAGCCACGGATCGACAGTGATGCAAAATGTAAAATCTTTACATATTATATTGTTATTTTGTATTAGAGAGATTGTATTTACGTGTGCTTATAGTAATTGTTTTTCAATGTTCAGTTCCACCTTCTCTGTCTGCATTGTAAACCACCCAATAAACACAAGCTAACATAACATCAATGTTATAATTTCCCACTCAATAATGTAACTGCAATATAACATGCCTTGTACGTAACAATTATATTGTAGAGTGGGAAATTATAACATTAATGTTACGTTATTGTTACTTTGTGTTTACTGGGCAATTATCAGATGACTCTTCACAGTTTTTTAGCTTATCATCTATTTGTGCAATTGCAGAAGTTAGCTCCTACTTTTTCCATTTCTTATCATCCACTAGCCATTTAACTTGGTAACCTTGGTAACTTATGATTATCATGCTTGGCACTGCACTTGCACTGCAAATAGTGAACAGATTACCAGTACTAGTAGGGCTTGTAGGGCTTTCAAAAAAACCCAATTTACCGCTTTCTAAGCAATCATAGAATTCTTTCATAAATTGCTTTTGACTTTCATAAGCTGGGAAGGGAAATGGAAATTCTTGTGGAGATTCCATTCTTGCATTTACCTCACTAAATTCTGTTTACAAATTTACACACAAAGTACTACAGCATTTAGGATTACAATTGCAAAAGCATTTATTCTTTCCTGTGATATACAAAAACTTACTTTCATCTGAAACAAAGAACTTGTTTTTGTAAACCATACATTGTTTATATAAATTGTTTATATAAATAGATGGTTTTTCTACCAAGAATGATCTTTAACAACCCAGTCAACAAAATGTTAGCAGCCTGCTGGCAGTTTGCGAGCAGATTTGCTCAGAACTTGGCAGCAAATACGGTGCCATCTGTGTCCGCATTAAGCTCGTGTTCTGTCGACAGAAACTGTCGACATAGGTTGACAGCAGATTGGCGGCAGAAAACGAGCAGGATCTGCGCAATGTAATTTGATGTCAGATTGTCGGCAGAAATCGAGCAGAACCTGCCGTCACAATTTAAATGGAATAGCGGCATTTAAATGCTTCATTACAATTTTACATTTCTCGTTTCGCTTATTAAAAGTAGTAAATGAGGTATGTAAAGTATATAATATATATTTGCTTTATTGG